AGTTAAATTTTCATTACTTTGTTTGCAGATTAAAAGCCCATCTTGATGTTTCAGTTACAAGAACACAATTTCAGTTCTACAATACTCAGCATACCACAAAGATTCCTTTAGTCATAATAGGTGTAAACATGATTTCACTCAGATTAATTCTGAAATGTTTGAGTCCCTATTTCTGCTTTCACCTCATCTCTGTCAATTTGCTCTTGATGAGCAGAATGTGAACACAGGAGCTGGAATCTTGTTAAAGCCATTTAAGAAATTTGCTGCCATTTGCACCTGCATAAATCCTGAGTAACTTCACTGGCATAAATGGAAGCACAATTTGGCTTGAGAAATCAGGGCTTTTGTTTTTTCTTACTTTTGTTTTGTTTTAATTCAGCAACAGATTAAAAATAAAACTCTAATGACATCATGCTTATGGCACAGAGTCAATGGATTTATGCTGGACTGCTCCAGAGTAAATGAGATAGTCTTTGACCTAAGAAAATCCACACAACACCCATTTGCAAGCAGCCTGCTAAAAAGCTTTCTGTTATGGAATGACTCCATCTTTAAGGAACTGGGGGCAAACCACCCACAAACACCTTGGTGCCAAAACCCAGTTTTGTTAACAAAGGGGTTTATTTCAGACATATTCTTAAAACCTCAAAAGTGTAGCATGCTCATATTGCAACTGACTCATTATGCACAAATTTTTGGCTTTTGTTTTCCTTTTTTGTTGCTTTTATTTTTTTTAATGCATTTTAGTTATGCCCATCACCCCACTCACAAATTAGGGGTTTAGAATGGAAAATCTTACCAGCTTTTCATGCTAGTGGTGCTTGCAGGCACTGCCATGATAAATAATTTACTATTTAATGACTCCTGATGTAATCACAGCAGGAATCAGGTTCACCAACATCCATCTCTCCATTGTTACCACTCTTCTCTGAGCCCATCCTTTTAGCTCCCAACTCAAGTTGTGTTTAAATTGGTAAAGAGAGAGTTTACTGCCACAATCCAACCTCTACATTTGTTTATGTTGGATGACATTTTTGTCCTGGCTCGCATTACTCAGATGGATAAAACTCAGAAGGGTTTGCTCTATTGCCCTGTTTTCTCTTAGTGTTCCTGCATTTTTTAAATGCTACCAAATGGTTGCTTTTGGCTCTCAGCATTATCACATGTTGTCTATAAGTATGGAAATAGTTATGGTAATATGGACGTAAATCATAACTGTAAATACCACATAAAAAAGACTGCCGTATAATTATAAAAATACCTAATAGATTTCTTTTTCAAAGACAACACAGCTGTCCTTTCTAACCTTTCATTTGCAGATTCTTTTCTCTCCTGTTTTTATTTATAGGTTGCCGTGCAGTTTGACATAGCACACCACGATTTTTGTTTCTAATTTTGAAAAGAAAAGGAAAAGAAAGAATACCCATTTCATCATAAAGAAGCATTAGTTTACAATTTTGAAAAGAAACTAACGCCAGCTCTAGAACATCATCTTGGAACCAATCTCCCTCTTAATACATTTCAAAAGGATCTGTCAATGGCTACATACCACAGTATAAAATTAAACCCTGCCATGGAACTGAAGGAGGGGTCGGCCAAATGGCACACATCACATGTTGGGAAGGAAGCCCCAATCTTTTTCCAAACATCTCAGTGTTTTTTTTTTTTTTTTTTTTTTTTGTGAAAAGAACCACACTAGGTTACTGCATTGGCCACAACAAAATAAGAATTTTATGCTCTGCTCAAGCAAAAACAGGTTGAAAAGTGTTCCAGGCAAACTCCCACTATGCAATGTGCCATGTCAGTGAGAGGAGTGAAGCCCTGCACAGTGTTGATGTTGCCAAAAAGAAGTTTGGATTTTTTTTTGCCTGGGAGATACCACCATGCATTTTACCTGTTTCTAGTCAGCTCTGCAATGCTTTAAGGCAAAAAGGAGTAGACTTCTTTTCTGCAGGAGTTGCACAATGCTTCATCCTCCACAAACTGGTTCTTACCTCTTCCCTGTTAGTTTAAACTTCCAGAAGGACCCTGCTTGGTCACAAAAAAGAGGCTGCAGGCAGTGCTCTCATGCCACATGAATGGAAGGCTGTTATCTTTGTGTCTTTGCAACATTTTTGCCTCAAAGCTTCTTCCTATCACCAAGCAACCCCTTCAGAGACCTGTGCCTCTGGCTTTCTGTACAGCAAATTCCATGTTTTTGCTGAAATAATAGCAAACCTCTCCAGGGAATGGAGTTCATCTTAACCATCAGAAATGTGTGCTTCTCTCTCCCTCACTTTGCAAAAAGAGTAATTATGGCTTTATGCAGAACAACACACAGTTCTCAATGGGTTTGTTACACTCTGATTCCCTTCAAGAGAGGCAGCTAAAACAACTGAACTGCAAAATGCTGGTGGGGAAGGTCAGTCTGGACCAGAGGTGTGCTCACTGCTTATTGATGCAGCTCATTTAGGCAGATAACATTCTCAAATCCACACTGCATTTTTATCAGTCTGCACCAACTGGCCTTTGTCCAAAAATGTGTCCTTTTATCAGATGTGTCACTCTTTTGGGAGGCTGCCATCACTAGACTGGGTGACTGAATGTTAAAATAATTTCTCCAGGGGGAAGAGGTTGATCCCAAAGGTTTTCTAGTTCCAAGAGGGGGGATCATTTCTCATCACCAGCTGGAGCCTCATGTCAGACATGCCCTTTCTTCATTTATTCTCCTCAGAGGTTGAAACTCAGCTTGTCCTTCCTGATTCCAATATTGTTTCATGTTTGGACACATAGCAGTTACTACACAGTGAATTGTTAGAGCAGGAGAGCCCATGAGACATGGGAAAATAATTTAGGGGAAGCAGTTTGACAGCAGGATGCAGTAGTTTCTATTGTCCCATTAAAACAGTGATAGCTGGGAACTTAACTTTGTATTCATTATGTAAACAGATGTATTGTAGCCTGATGTGCCAAAAAGATGCAAATACAAAAAGAAATTCAAACAAACCAAAACCCCCAAATTTATGCCACCAAAACCTCAAGCAAACCAACACAACAAATATTTGTCCTTCTTCTGCACCATGTCTACTTAGCAGGGATATGAGACTGAAGCCTTGTACACCTGAAAGAATGGTAATTTGTGCTAAAAGATCAAATGCCCTGGGTTCCCTCTGAGTCTGGCATTTATTTTACATTTGCAGTTTGGTCTGAGAACAAAAATGAAGCTGCAATGATTGACTCATCTTATGAAAACATCTTGACACCTTTTTATCCTTTTCTACGTGTTTTCTCTGCAACAATAAATAAAGAAAGGGGGAAATCACCAGTTCCCATGCAAAATTTAAAGTTTAATTCTTCAAACCAAAGAGCAGCTTGGTCTTGCCCACTAATGGCTTGAGGTTGCACTGACTTTATTTAGACCATGCCTAAATTAAACACAGAACACAAGCAGGTATCAGAGATCAGTCACTGCAGCATTTCCTGCATCTCCTGTAACATTCCTCTTCTTATATCAAGATGCCTCTACAGCCCTCTAAGTCAGGCTTTGAAATAAAATTGATCAAATCCACAGCATATTGTGCTAAAGCTGGACCAAGGCCAGACACACTAAAAACTTTCTCACCTCTCCTCTTCATAAATGGAGAAGTCAGGAGACCATGAGCTGCTACTTCCAGAGGTATTTACAATTTCTCACTCAAAGCACTCTAACTATTATCACAGATATTTTATTGCTAAATTTCCAGTCTGTATTGGGGGTTTCTCTATATATGCACATTCAAGAACTCTGAATGAAGCCGTGGCATGAATTTACAGAGTATACAGAGGCCAGAGAGCAATTTATCTCTTTCAAAGTGAGTAAGGCAATCTGAATGAAAGCCATTTTCACTTTGAACGGCTGTGGCTGCACAAGGGATCAATCCACTTTAAAACTGGCTCGGATAATGTCTTTATCTGATAGGCTGATTTTCTTGACATTGTGCAAGAAAGCTAAAAATCAAAGAAAATCTGTCCTTTGATAGTGCAGTGTCTCATATTTCTGATGTTGTCCTAGCAATCAACATAAAAAATTGATTTTTGATTCTTAGTTAATTAGTTTAATTTCAATTTCTGCTTTTTGGCAAGATGCACAATTCTTAAAAATTATGAGAAGTTTCTTTCCTCTTTCCTTCTCACCTCACTTCTCTGGAAAAAAGTGAAAAGAGAATTTGCATGAAAATTTGAGGAAGACAAGGTTACAAAAAGGGAGTGGATATGCCAAATTCAAATGGACTTTTGTCTGAGCACCATCACATCCCCCAGCAAAGCCACTGTGCTGTTCCTGCCCACACAAAGTACCCTGCTGGAGGGACATGAACTTTTAGAGCTAGGTAAGAGAGTTGACTAAAATACTGTTACAGAAATAGAGCCTGAGTTTTGAGCAAACTCATATTTTTGTTATCGCTTGAGTGGAAAAAGCTCTGGAGGATGTTTGGGAGAGGTCTAAGACAATAGAGCTTCACTGAGCTTTGGCCTTTGGGCACACTGCTAAGTAACTCTAATTAGTAACAAAAATGAACATATTTCTGGAGAGAAGACAGTGAGGGAGGGGCAGAAAATGTGCAAAGGTAACTGCACAGGGGGAAAAATGCAGTAAATATTAAAGAATCTCAAGATTTGTAAATGAGATGTCAACTGTCGCTATCCACAAAGATTCCTGACACTAACATTTCTGTTCAATTCACTAATTTTTGTGTGATAAACACCAGCCAGTTCACAGCATTTGTATACAGGGTGTGTGGTTTGACTTCACCATGAAAGCATCTCCTTTTACAAACAAGAACCAGGACTGCATAGCAGGTAAATGGTTAATGCTGAACAACACACACATGAAACTTCATCAACTCCCTCAGAAAAATTAGGATATTATTCATTATTATGGAGCCCTGTAATTCTAAAGTAAATCATGCCAAGATACTATCTTGCAGGTCTCTAGATCAGATATCATTGCTCAGAAAAAAAAAAGCAAGCTTTCATGCACTTACCTTATCCTCCAGCCGGATCAGTCTGGCTCCTATACTGTAGTATCCTTTGTCTACCCCTTTTTCTAAAGAAAGAGGAATAAAAATGGGACATTCATTAGGTGGAGAATAAATTCAAACTATGAATTATATCTATGGTATTCAAAGGAAAAAGAAAAAAAAGCTGGTAATAGTAGGGTAGCATAAAATACATGAACATAAAAAGAAAGAATGAGTGAGAGAGAGTGGCTGGAGAGCAGGAATTAGTTTGTCAGACTGACAAGATTGAGTTAGTCTAAAGGGCAACTTGGACTTTGGTAGAGGAGTCTGTAGACATGAAGGGGTATGCATGGAGTCAGGAGTAACATTGTTTTGTTGTTTAATTATTTCAGTGGTTGGATGGCATGGGCAGGGTACCTGGGCCCACCTGCAATTTTGAATATTACTGGCCCGAGCAAGGTAAAATTGCTATACGTAAATAAATCAGAATAGTTTTCAGCTGGGGCTGCAGGTCTAGGATGCAGCATATCCAGGGGTTCAAGAGCTGGAGTGGTAGAGATCCATCCATCCATCCATCCATCCATCCATCCATCCATCCATCCATCCATCCATCCATCCATCCATTTCCTCTCTGCAAAGGAGTCACACTGGGAAAAGCTCTTGCATCCTCATTTTTCCTCCCACATTCCATTGCAAAGGGTGGAATTGGGAGCCAAGAGTGAAAACTGTGGAAAATGGGATCTATGCTTTCTGCTCACAGGATCTATTGCTAAGGAATGCCATAGTTTGAGGGTGTTATTGCACAGGGAATGAAGCACAAACCCACACACATTCAGAGTTTTAACATTCACAAGTTAAAACCCACAGTCTAATACTGAAATAACTTACAAGCTGATGGCAATGGAAGTTGGATGTTTTTCTCTACTAAAGTGTATTTCCAATACCTGGAGTAATTACTCCTGGATTTTTTCATGCATTGCTCCATTTTCATGAGCACTTAAGGTCTGGTTTTTAAAGCTAACTAAGTCAATTTTGCTGAGGGCATGAGCAAGGCTGAGATATGTTGGCAGGTAGGCTGAGATATGAATTTACACTGTGCCAGAGTTCACAGTGAGTGCCTGTGTGTGCTCATCACATTCCTGGATTTCTCAGGGACTCATACTTGCTTTACCATTTATATTTGCTATGGGATATGTTTAGTGATCTGTTTGCAGCAAAGTTCACCTCAAGGTAACTTGTGCTGCACACATCACAACCCCAGAGGAAGACCAGTAAAAGCAGTGCTGGCAAGAGCACTTTGTGCTTTCCTTCTCCTCCTTTAAAAGGTCCTGCACCCTTGGCAGCTCTTTGTAGGCTTAGAAAAGAGAAGTGTTTCCCCAGAGAACCTGTAGGAGCAAATAAAGTCAGGAAAGAAAATGTGGGGCAGAAAATAAGTGACACAACTTGGCTCATACATGTGTACTATTCATCGTTCACAACCTCAGAAACTTCTTAAAATGTAAGTGGCTGAAGCTCAAGTTTATCTCTGTGTTCATCTCTGCCTAAAATGAAATAATTGACTCTGCTGTCTACTTTCTAGTTAGTAAATCTGTAAACACATCTTTCAAAGTATATATATCAGAAAAAAAAGCATGACTTTTAAGATTTCTAAATTGGGATGTGGTTTGAACAGCAGTGGGCAAAGAGTGTTTTTGTTTAGGTCTAACCCCAAAAAGTCCCCCAAACCTGAAGACCTACTTCAAAAAAGATTTTTCTTTTTTTAAATAATAAAATAGTAATTTCCTCACCAGCTCTAATTCCATCCTTCAGATAATCACCAAGACATCCCAAACCAAGTTAATAGTGTTTCCTATTTTAGTTATTCCTGAAAGCTGTGTGGAACAGGAAAGAAAACAGGGAGCAGATAAGCAGTAAGAAGCTGCATTGTGGCATGTGGCACTGCTCTAAGATGTGGAAAATCAGAAGTGGGAGGAATGATGTTGTCTCATGCACCCCTGTGCTGGCACACAGGCTCTGAAAGACACAAAATGCTGTGGTCCTCCCCCATTTCTTATCAGCCTCCATGGGGAACAACATCCAGCCCTAATTTAAAAGTATTTCCTTCTAATAGAGCACATCTTTAAGAGCAAATGTGGTGTGCGTACAATTCACCAAACACGGGGGTAAGGAGGGAGGGCACAAGTTCAGATAAAGTCGCTCCAGTACGTGTGATTTCTAGCTCATGTTTCGGTTTCTCTCTGGAGTCTTTTCTAGATAGATGATTTCAGACTTCCTACATTATTAGATTGATTGTTTTTACAGAGTTGCAAAGATTGCATGGCCAACTATAAATATGAAATGTCTAAATTTCTCCAGGCTTTACTTTGTAATCCAAAATAACTTCCTTTTAGAATTGAGTTTTTACTCTGTGTTGGGCACACTAAAACAGAGATCAGATAAGCAATCCTCTAACACTTATGGGAAAGGCACAGAGACAAAGGATGAAAAGAAGCACAACTTACTTGTAACTGAATGAAAATACTGATGGGAACATTTTATCTCAGAAATTAAAAAAAATAAAATCTTGCATCACATGGTTGGTATGATACAAACCCATTATTTTATATATTTAGATTTTACTCCAAGAAAATACTACCAAATAAGCAATAGGCAGTCTAATTCAGGAGACTGAATAGTTAATACAGATTAATAATAATAATAACATATATTTATTTAAATGGACATTTCTTCCCTGGAAGTCTTTACCTTCCTGAGTATTCTACTTTCAAACAACACAATCCTACATGAATTTCCTAATATTTTCACAAAGCTGGCCCACCTATTTTCCTAGTGAAGAACAAGATATGCCTCTTGCTAAAAACCAGAAACAAAACCAAAAAAACCCACAAAAAAACCCCTAAAAAACCATCAAACACTTTTAGTTTTGCTTCACACCAGTTCAATATATAACTCTTTCCCCTAATGGAAGCACATTATATAAATTACATAAACTGATATGAACAGGGGGAATGAGCATCCTAATCTTATTTTTTCACACAGTTAGTGTGCTGTATCTCATCAGAATACACCAAACTTAAAAGAAAATAATTTTTTTCCTTTGATTAGGGAGAAGTACTTATGAGGACCTTTAGGACAGTGAATGAATTGCATAGAGATGGTCTGAAAATGGTAAAAGCTGGAAACGACTCTGCTTTATAGAGCAAGAGTCCTTCCTTGATTTTTACACAGCTAGAGGGGAGCTAATTCAAAAATATTCAATTTTTTCTGAAAGCCATCAGCTTCTTTTAAGCAGAAAATGAAGAATTTGACAGGATTCTGGATTGTTGAAGACACCTCAAATCTTTTGTCCCAGATTGTAAGGCAAGATGAATTCTATTTGCCATCTGTTAGAGGTGTGGCAGTTGTTTTCTGTTATTGGGCAGTTTTCTTTATCTCTTCCACAACCACTCATCCCTCCAGGGAGACACCTGCTGATAAGGGGCCATTGAATGTCACTGCATGGCTGATAAGAATTACAGCAACCCACCGTGAGAAGCTCTGCCCAGAGGGAGGAGCCAAACATTCCTAACTGGATATAATCTGAGATCCTGGGACATCAAGACAGCTTCTCCACTGGATTTCCCAGAGGAACAGCTGCTGCCTCTTCCACTGGATCTTCAGAGGAAGAATACAGGATCCCTGCTCCAACAGAACCACACCTGACACTGCAGGAGGGCTGCAGCCACATTTCCAATGGGACTGCCACCAACACCCTGACCAACAGGGTGTCAGGTTGTGTTCTGACTCTGTCAGTGCTGTTTTAGTTTACTGCATTGTTTATTTTATCTTTTTATTTTCTTCCCTAATAAAGAACTGCTATTTCCTGCTCCCATATCTTTGCTTGAGAGCCCCTAATTTCAAATTTATACCAATTTGGAGAGAGGGGGTTTACATTTTCCATTTCAGGTGAGGCTCCTGCCTTCCTTAGCAGACACCTGTCTTTCCAAACCAAGACACCTTTGTAAATGGTATCTCAGAAAGCAGAACAGTCCCTCTAGGAGGCATTGCTGCCTTCTCTTCGCTACCCGGGTGTAAATGCAGCCCCCTGGACCTGGGTTTGCTCTAGCTCTGCCAAAGCTCCATCCAGGGAAGATTAGGATGAGTTTATGGCAAGATCTGGATTCTTGGGTTTGCATACTGTGCATGCTGCTGAAAAAGAAGGTCAGGATTGCCCCTTCACACCTCAAAAATAGCAAATAACAAAGTTGCCTCAGTCATGGCAGCTTTTATTTGGAGTCTCTTTTCTTGTCAGCCAGAGCCTTTTGCAGCTGATTGGTAGAAGAAATTTAAAAAAGGTAAGGCATAGTCCTGGATCAGGGACTTGTGATTTCCATTGGACAGCCTAAAAGGTAAACTGCCAAAATATTTTTGTCTCCAGGAGGGGTGGGATAAATCAGTTCTTGCAGAAATATGGGTATCTCTCATTTCAAATATTAATTGACTTAAAAAAGAGAAAATTAAGCTGAGCATATTTTTTATGCTTTAAAAGATACAGTGACCCAATTTCTTTTTAACAGATTGGAAGGAAAAAGTACAAAAAAGCTTAGGTGGCACTTAATGGAAAAAAAAAAAAAAGCAAAGAATAGAACTGTCAAAATTTTGCAAGAAAGCCCTTTTCTCCAGGCATTCCCACCCGTGTCATACAGAACCAAGAGGTTCAGATAAACTGCAGATAAACATCAGCTTTTTGTGTACTTTTCTGAACCCAAACACTGGATCTTTTGTTTTACCTTGGCATTATGCTTCGCCTTTGCCCCTGAAAAGCTGTAGTAAGTCTCAAAAATTGCATTCAAAAGCAGTTAACTCCATCGTGTGTAGTGAAGGTCAAGCACTTTTTATTTGTATCAGTGTATGTGGCTACTTTTTTGATTCCATAAATTCAATTAATATGCTCTTTCCCTCTACATCAACACTTTCCTTTATGTTTATTATGACAGGAATCTGTTTAATCTGACAAAATTTTGTCCCCTGGAACACTGGGACAGTCTTCCAATGAAACTCAGAGAGAGTCTGCTGAATTTACTCATAAAAGTAGGGTCCAGGCCCTTGGAAGATTGATTCATTATCTTAGTGTTTTTAAGTCCACTCCTGCTTGAAAGAGTTTCAAAGAAAGGGAGGAGATGCCAAGAGCAAAAACAAGAAAAAAGGGAGAATTCTTCCTATATGCACATATGAAGGTGGAATTATCAGAATTCTTTGTAGAAAGCATGTCAGATATTGTAAGTTTAAAGGGATAATTAGGCAAGTTCGTTGAGGACAAACAATTTTGGAGACTAAATACACTGAAATCTTGTCAGGAAACCTCTGATGTGCAATGGGCTGAAAGCTGACAGGAAGGCTGGAGGCTTTTTTTACACATTTCCCAAAGCACCTTGCTCTTGGCCCCATTGGAGTCAGGACTGCTCTGACCCAGCATGGCTTTTATTCTCTCCTCGTATCCTTATCTTGTTTTAACACAGCTTTTAGTGCTTTTTTATCTCGGAGAAACTAACTTGAAAAATAACAATAATTGCTTCCAGTAAATTCAGATTCTGGGTCTTTTATGACATCATACACTTTTGAAAAGTAATAATACTATAGACAGGCTGCAATTGCTTTTATATAATATTATCAAAATCCACAACAGGGACTTTTCAATAAAAAAACTGATCCAAACCCCACTGAGGTCACTGGAAAGATTCCCGTTCATTTCAACGCGCTTGGAATCAGACCTTAAGATTCTTTGAATGGGAGTATAATAAAACAGGAAAAAAATAAAAGGAGCTGGAAAGAAAAATTCTTTTCACGTTTTTTTTCTCCTTGGCAGTTTAATTTTCTTTGCATTGTCATTTCTTTTTTGCTTGTCATCTGTACAAAAATAACACAGTCTAGGGGAAACACCCATACTGTTAAAAAATGACGATTTTAGCAATGCCTGGAAAAGTATTATATAAAAAAATCTATGTTCAGTGTAGAATAAGCCATGCATTCTGAGGTAAACTCAGGAATAACCCTTTTTCTAGAGAAGGGGAACAGTACAAAAGTCTGTTTTCACCCCAAACAAACAAACAAATACTGCACCCACTTTTCACTGTTCACCACTTGGAAAATCCTGGGAGTAAAGTTGGGTTGGATAACACCAGGAGTAATTGCAAACTAACTCTAGGTTCAGTTCTGCACACCATTCCTCTGGAACCACTTATCTTATTTTTGGATTTGTGGAGGGTTTAGATAAAATAACTGCTAGATCAAATAACTTCTGGTTTTGGTCTTGCAACCCCCTAACTGAGCTCACCAGCTTCTGCATCCCAACCACCATTCCACCTCTTCCAGTCAGTTCCTTGGTACCTCAGATTATTTCCAGCACTTGTCCAAAGCCACAGGCCCACCTAAGACCCTCCCAGTGGTTTCTGTGACCCTTTTGACTCAAGATTTGGTGAGACCAAACTTCCTGAACATCTTCAGCTTCTTGAATCTCTCAGAATATAATTCTACAACAGGTTTCTAATTATTCAACTCTGAAACCAGAAACTGCTTGATAAAAAGTGCTTCTAACACCAGTCTTTTCAAGCATAAATTGCAGTTTCAGTTTGGTAATGCTATACTTGAAATAAAATAATACATTCTTGGAGGTAAGGGACATTTTTCCATAAATTTAGCTTGCACATTTTGGAATGAAATCCCATGCATAAATAGTTATAGAAGTATTCAAGCTGACAGATTCTTTTCCTGTGGTCCAAAACCAGCTACAGGGAAAAGGGATTGTACTACTGAGCCTTCTGCAGCAATCAGATGTTGAAAATGTGTTTTGAATGATATTCCTTGTTCTGATAATATTAACCACTGACAACATGCCATGTTTTGGAGGCTCTGCAATTATTTTGCCACACTCAGTTGTGCTCCAAGTCAGTTGTGGATATGGGACATAAATTCAGGAAGGAAGAAACCTTTTTAAGTGGAATAAACATATATTGTAATCCCACGTCCAGACCAAAAGATTTAGAAAGACTATTTTTGTAGAAGGATTTCCCTCAGGATATTTCCATCTCATCATGTTCTAATATACATTTTACATTTATTCTTAATTTCCATTTACTCCCCTATCACCTGAATGAAAAGTATTTCTCTTTACACAGGCATTCTAGGGCTTATTAACAGAATTACATTCATGTATGATTGCCTGCATTATAGATCCACATTACTGTAGCCAAGGGTATTTTCCCAAAGTTATGAAGATAATAATTTTGCATAAAATGCAGTCACCATACCTGGGAGGAAAAGACCTGGCTTTCCCAAGGATTGATCCAACCTGAGAAGCAAACAGAAAATTACCAGCAGAGCAATTACCAAACAACTTAAACTCCGTTGCTAAGCATGGGAGCACAATTTACATGAGAATTTACAGTAGCTCTAAACCCAAACCAAAACAAGCAAAAACATGAGACTAGCACGACTTTCTGCACACACAGTCAGCAGTTTAGCTCTTTAAAAGTTTTTCCTCCAAAATCAAACCATATTATTATTGCTATTTTCGTGAGTACTAATATTTCTCAGACTTTCAAGTTGTAACTAAAACATAGTTCTCCTGTGTCCTATGTAATCTAATAACAAAGACTATACAAACAGAATGACTTCTTAATAACATTTGTAACTATTCCTAGAGCCTCATGCAGGCGGATTTAATATCTGTATATGTTGACACAGTAGATTCCATTCAATAGGATTTTTTTTTTTTCATTTAATTTAAGGGCCAGGGGAGTTTATTCTGGTGTCCCAGTCCACAGCATTAATTTGTAAAGAGAAAAGCACTTTGTGCTGAAACAGAAGAGAATAGTTTTGTGGCAAAATATTTCAGCTGCAAACCCCAAACTTGGAGAAAGCATGTGCATGGAGGAATGTGGACAGGGAAAAGTTCCAGATAATGCAGCACAAGCGAAACAGATTTCTTTCAGTTGTGGAGAACCACAGAGTGGAAACAGAAAGGTAAATCATTATTTGAAAAGTTTTCCTTTTCTAAGAAGAGGACAGAAAAGCTTGGATCACACTATAAACTTCACAGCATGCACCTTCATTTCTTTTAATTCCACTTGGAGAAAAAGGAGAGGAGAATAAAGGGTAATTGTAAACTTGGTCATAAAAAGGGTTAAAAATGGCTCCAAGTTAAATCCTCCAGATATTGTGCTCCCTGTTGTGCTTGCAATTTTGGACAATTACTGTTCATTAAGAACACATCTCTCCTAAAGCCAGCTGGCACTAGAGGAATCAGATATTTCATGAGGTAGACAGGGCCTACCTCCTTTGAAGTTCCTTTATGCGAACCATCATGTTGAGGTGTCCTTGGGAGTACTGCTCAATCACGTCACGGACGTCGTACGGCTTCCGAGCTTGCTGGGAAAGGAGGCAGGCAGCAAGTTGAAAGGTGAGCATTGACCAAACTAGATTTCTACTTCAGACAGGCCTTCATTCTACTTTTTTTATCTGCTCATTTTCCTGCCATTTTGCAACAGTTGTTGTAATGAATAAAAGAAACCTTGCAGCCGTTGTGGGAGTGAATATTTGTTGTGGAGACGGAGCCAAATGATTCCCATTACTGTCAGTTAGAGTCATGTCTTCATGTCACTCCATACTGAGCAAAATATTAGCCCTTCACAGTGTATTTGGGAAACACAAACACAGGATGGATTATTTATCTGGGACTCCCATGTGCAGTATCTCCTGCCTCATTCCAAAGCCATGTGTTAATCATAATGTCAGGGGACTGAACCCCAGGGATTGGCCCAACTCACAGCACTTGGACCCAGAATCAAACATCTCTGAAGACCAGAGATGTCTAGTGACAGAAATATTGCTGCTTGAGGAACAGGGAAGACAGATGCTCTGCATAAGTCAGGAGACTGCCGCATGTAGGTTTTGTTTGTCATCCTTTGTCTTTCGTGATACCTTTGAGATCAGGGAAAAAAGGTGCAATTAAAATAAAAAAGGACAGATAAAAAATTGCAAGAGAGTGAAAACACTCCCACCTGCCCAGCTATATTCCCATCCTAATGAGAATCAAGGTGCCTCTGCCAAGCTTTGGTTTCTTGCTGCAACTACTGCGGCCAAATTTCAAAACAAGTCTGGAGAATTTGCAGAAAGTGATGTGGTTATAAAGAGTGCAGCACAGTGAAATTTTAGCAAGTAAAATCAACGTGTGTGGGGAGGTATCAATGCAAATCATGGCCTGTTGGAAAGACCAGCATTTTGAGAACCCTTATGGGAAATGTGGGGCAAAATGTCTCCCTTTTTGGCTCTGACTCAAGAAAAGAAGGGGGGGAGAAAAAAAGCAAAGGTAAACTGCAAATCTAGTAATTGAAAATTACTGAAAACAGCTCATTAGTCATCTTGTTGTCTGTTTGCACTCTGTCACAGCCTCAGCCAGAGCCATTAGCATGCACCACTGCACACATGCATTGAACACCTACAGTATGTGCTGGAGTCATGCTTGGAAAGCTGCCACACAATCCTAGAAATTTCAAATGAAAGCATGGAACTGGAATGGAAACAAATCCTGTGAAGTGAATGGAGAAGCAAGAGTTCTTCGTGACAAAATTCCTTCCCTGCACACAGTATATACCTGCACCAATACTTTCAGAAGAGTTGTGGTTTTGGAGGTGTGTGTGTGTGCATTTGAGTGCATTTGGGAGCAGAGGCTTTGTGGGGGAGAGAGGTTTCAGCTTTCAGCTTATCGTTCTGTTTTTGGTCGGGTTTTTTTCTCCCCCTTCCCCAGCTCCACATTTTGCAGACGCTGACACATCACTATTTCTGGCCAGAAAAGCAGCCTATTGTCCTCACCCCGAGAAGCAATGCCAATATCACTCTTTAGATGGACTAGGGGGGGTGCCTGGCGAGCATTTTGGCTAAATCCCGTGTCCTTTCCTTTGGACACTCTCTATTTAAACACCGAGCATGGCGCAGAGCCTGGATGTGCCGGGGAGCTTTTCCCTCCCCTCTCCCCAGTGAGTTACTATGTGCATAATTAATTCTACTCATTCCCAGTGAAATTTCTTTTCCCCCTCAAAAGAAGTCCTCTGACAGTTATCCCTTTTACCAAACCATCAGCTCCTACAGTTGCAAAGTGCTGCAATCTGCCTGAGTCCTCTCTGAAGCCGAGTAAAAAAGTCCCTCCAGCTTTCACCACTTTCCCCTCCTCTTTTTCCACAAAGATTTAGGTCTGGGCATCTTATGTCCTGCCAAACTTTGGCACAATCCCCTGTCATGTTTTTATTAGGAAATGCTGAAATGATACAACTGAAGCCAGGAGGTAATGGGCTTCCAGAGAAGTGTGGTAAATGCAGCACTTGTACAACTCCTTTGACTTTCATTCTGTTCATAATCCCAAATCCTGGCCATTTGAGCTCAGTATTCCACATTCAGCATGCAAAACTAAATAACATTACCCAGCTTTGAACTTCCAAAATTTAATTACTATGGGGAGTTCTATAAACTCTATTTCATGGCCCCGAGAAAGGAAGAAACAAAAGATTATTCCTTCTTCTTCTACCCTGTCACTGACTCACAGGATTCTCTCCATAAATTGATGAAATTCAGTTTTTAAGGTTTTGCATGACTGCCATTAGCTGACAGCTCCAGAAGATTAGGTCTCTAGTGGTTTGAAATACATTTATAAACTGAGTTTTTATTTTACAGAACTAGTGTCCCTATTTTCTTCTTCCTTTTTAAATTTTTTTTTTAATTTCCCATAGTGTTTATCTCTCTGGTATATTTATAGTATAATCCTGCTCTCCTGTTTTTTGCTAGTTTAACAAACTGACTTCTCCTAGTCTTATTTGAAAAGATAGGGTTATCTGAAGATACATGTTTGCATGGGATTAGGAAATATATAAAATGTTCTATCTGCCTTAATTTAGAGTCTTTTGAATGCTGGGATCTTATCTCAGGCTTCTATACTCTGTACTTCTACCCATTTAAGTGCTCAGTTCTAATCAAACTTCCCTGAAATGTAGGTTTTTTGATTTATTTTCTTAAAACCTCTTCAAAAGGATTATAAAAGGCCATTAACTTGCAGTGCATCCTCTTGAACAAAAAAAAAGCATGAACCTTGAGATGGAAATAATGAAGGCTTTGAAAATCAGTCCAGAAGTTAATTTTTCATTTCCATGGCATTTCCAACCCATGGATGATGAGAATGATTATATCAGGATCACATCCCAAACAAGATTTATCATAAAAAGTCTCATTAAACAGGCAAAATGAAACAGTATTTTCAATGTAGCACATTCAGTTTGAGCACTTTGTAACCCAATTGAGAAAATTAACTGAGCACTTCATAATGACAGCAAATTTCCAGACAGCAGATGCTCCCCAAGTTTATAAAATATGGCCTATGAGGTCCCTTTATGGGAAATACATTTTCAAATGTGAGTCACACCTATGAAAGCAACCTTGCACCCACAGTGCTCATCAGTGAAGCCTATTGATCTGTCAGCCATACACAGCATGGAATTGAACATTCCCTAATTGATCAGATCATTGATAATATTCTTGTTATGATCAGTATTTTTGCAGACACCCTGACAGAGGTTTTTTCACCCCAACACCAGTGTTTTCTTCACTTCTGCTAGTGTATGGGTAAGTATTGGCCAGTTAAACAAGCAGAAGCCCTAAAACCAAGTGCAGTAAAAAATGACTAGTAAAAATAATGATGCTGATTCCTCAAAGCCAGGAGTTTGTAGCATACTACATCCATGGATCACTGATATTAAAAAATCCACAAAAGGTGTGAGCCCAAGAATCTCAAGGCCACCTTTGACTTGTTACAGCCACCTTCACCAAGACAAGTCTCCTCTGAGAGCGCCTTTGATGTCCCAGGATCTCATGAGATGCACTTGGGATTAATCTTGCTGCTTACCTGAAATTTCCTTCTGGCCACAAAATACTGCATCCTCCTGATGACTTTCACAGCTGTTCTGTGTGCTTCAGTCAGTCTGCCAAGGAACACAAACACCGACAGACATCAGCTGGGGGAGGGCAGGAGGGAGGAAAAATGTCTCAATGGAAGATGTTGACTCCAAGCACCTAAATGTACAACTGTGTTTTATCTTTACAATGCAAAACTGCAGTGTAGCAAGCTGTGAGTGTGTGGATGCTTTGTTCTGCTGCTTTGCCTTCCTGCAAATTGTGGTTCTAAGTATTCAAAACTGATAGGTGAGACAATGAAAGCAGGTGTACAAAGATAATACATGTGGAAGGGATTAGACAGGATTACTGTCAATGCACACAACTGGCATCAGTTTGAAGAATATTAAATGTTCTTAGAACCATGACTGCATTCCTTATTTTGCATTTACTGAGTGTTTGCCCATGAGCTCTATTGCACAGAAATTAAGTCCTTCAAAAAGTACTTTGAAGGAAAGAAAAATCAGTGTCCTAAAAAAAAAGTAAATAAAAATGAACACAACACATCCTCTCAGCACACGTGTGTGTGTGTGTCTGTACTGGTATCCAAACACAGAATGGGACATTTTATAACTCAGCTGTATCACTTCACCTAGAGGATCCTGCATTTGCAGAACATTAATTGTGCCACTTGGCAGGCAATTAATTACCACACCTCTTCTTTATGGTGAATTTTGGCAGGGTAGAGAGGAAGCAGGAACATGCTAATTACAAGAATGAGTATTTTCTTGAAGGACTGACTCCTTCCCCACAGACTCCTTTATTCACTCAAAATAAGTGAACCAAGGAAAACAAAATTTTCCATCCAAGGAAGTTGTATTGTTGGGAAATCTATGTTTTATATGGACATCATCCTTGACATGTGATGATAATCCCAGGAAATTTTCCAGCAAGAATCTCCTGAAAACACAATCTGCTGCTTCTTCCCAGTGTGTCTGGTGGGGGAGAGGAAGTATTGGCTTGACCACCTACTTGGGTGCCACAGTTTAGAGACAAAGTCTTTAAAAAGTGCAAAGGTTACAGTGGATTATTTCAAATTGAAGGAAATAAAGGTTAATCAAGCAGGGACTGTGTTGTAAGAATTAGCATACTAATTCATTTTTATAATTATTCTTTGGGGAAAACAGTGCTTATCCTAGAATATGCTGAGCTGGAAGGGACCCATCAGGATCCCTGAGTCCAACTCCTGGTACCCCAATAATCCCACCCTATGCCTAAGAGCTTCTGATTGGTTGAAGATGCCATAGCCACAGGATTGTAAAATAAGCTTTCAGTAGCTTTTCCTTGCTTCTTCCATTTCAACTCCCAGAATAACATTAAATACATGCATAAATAGCTGTCTGTCCTGCCCATATGCCCATATTTCATTTATCTGTGTATATCATGCAGATCTCCACATAAATACACTCACACATGCAAACACACAGGAGACAAAGCAGGGTGAGCATGACTGAAGAGCTACCTTTGTTGTGCACCATCAGCAGCACTGCTGAGGAGGAATCTTTACATTTGTGTAAGCCCATCAAGGGGATTTCACAAGTGTCACTGATGAGCTAGCAGCAGTTTAACCTGCAGGACCTTTATTATGGTGGAAAAAAAGCTCTCAGCTTGACATGCAGGGCCCCAGATGAGCTCCTGTGGCTGCTGACTAGAACAGAGATGACATTCTGCTTGCAAATGGCACAGAATTGATAAAGAAACCTTTGTCAGCCCCTACAACTATTTTTTTAAAAATAACCACAAAAAAAAAAAATCACAGTTTAAGGTTTAGGGGTTAGCCCACCTCCCTTGTGTAGCAGTTAAGATAAAAACTTGAAATTATCCCCTAGAAATAAATGATATGAAATTTCATATATATACGTGAGGGGTTTTTTATTAGGCTAATCCATATGAGATGGTTCAGGCACTGTTTAAACAGGCTTAAATAGACAGGTTTAAATAAGTCAGAGATGGAACCAAACCAAGGCAGTAATTTCATCCTAATTCCCCCCTTCAGCACAAATCAGGGCTACAGAACTTTTTCCATTGTGTTAGCAAACCAAAGTTTTCAAAACAATGAGACTGAACTCTTGAAACTTGATGCACAGCTAAACAGGCCTCATTTTTAGAGAGAAAAGTAATTTATTTGTCAAATATAGCTAAGAAGGTCTCCCAACTATCATTCCAGAGCACTTGATATCATCATGTTCCAATTGGCAAAGCTCACACCAGTCTCATTGGGAGAAAATTCTGAAATAGAAGTGACTGCTCAGATTTGATGGTCACTGAGAGTCAGAAAAGTGTGAAACCTGACTTTGATGGAAAATAGCATGAAAAGGTGCAAATCCATAGACTGAGACATTTAGATAAGTCATCTTAATTGTCCCAATAAATCCCCAGGGAGCACAGCAGCTCCAGATGAGATAAATTCCTGCTCTGTACAGCAACCAGAGCTATCCTCCTGATGGGAAGTTGGGGCAGTGTGGCCATGATCATAAATATTTTTTTTGAGTTTTTAGCTGATTTTCATAGGTTTCTGACCACTAACATCCATAATGGATAATTACAACTACTACTGACCAGGTTACATTTATCCCGGAATGCAGCCCAGCATATCAACCCTGCTAAACCTTGTCTTTTATCCCAAACCCCTGGATTAGGCAAAACTCTTTCAGGCTTGAAGGTGTGGGTCTGTCATGTGCCAGAAACATCCACCAGGAGAGAAGAAATGGTCAGAGATGCTCAGGGCCCTGCTTTGGTAGTGCTCAGCAGGAGCACAGCACCACTTGCAGCAAATTCAGATATTTTGGGATATGCAGCTGATGAGACAGCAGCCTGAGGGGAGGTGTGACTGACCCCACATTTGCACACTCTTTCCATGTGGCATTTTCTATGGAAACAATACAGAAAGGGACAGATCTACACAGGGACTGTGGTTTCTAACTCCCTCAGGGGTGAGGATTTAACTCCTTTCACAGCCTGGCTCCCAAAGAGCAGGACCTGAGCCCTTGCTCTGGGCAGGAACAGGAGTGGGTCGGTGCCCACACCTCTGTCCCTACAGAGCAGCCAAACTCTCCTTCTTCTGTGCACCAGAGGGCAGTGGCACACACACACACGAGAAGATGCTTTCCAGCACATCCAAACATTTAATTATTTTTAAAAATCTACCCAGAAACCCAAGCTTAAGCTGCCCTCATAAGGATGGAGTCCACACTGAGGGGGGTGGGTGGTTGCTATTGGTTGTGTTGTTTTGTATGTTATGCTCAAATGAATATATTTAGAGCTTTATTGGCACACAATTCCATGCTTTTCCATCTTTTAACTTAAACAACAGGAAATAACATTTTGTCAAAACCCTCCCTTAAAACACTTTGTAAAGGAGAACAAAATGAAATTTGAACAGAAGTGATCTGGCTTTGGGAAAGTTATGAACACATAAATTAATAACTGAAGCTTCCAACATCTGTAACTATAATGGATACCATGAAATGTCTATTGAAATAACATATCCTTGGATCTATAAATTGTACTGACATCATCCCTAACTGTGTCTTCAAAAGGACCCAAGGCAGTGTGTGCTCCTTACCTCTCTGCTCAAGGGTTTCTCAGCAGGATGCTCAATTTTAAAAGGGCTCACAACTATCCTAAATTACAAGGAGTCATTCCTAGTTTGGCTCCTGGGCCGTGCCTGTGGTAGGGCAGGCAGGAAGGGGAGGGGGTGGTGGTCCTGGACCATGGATGTTTGCACAGTTTCCACCCTGGGGGGATGCTCAGGATCACTTGGCAGCTACTCTGGAAGGGCTGGGGAAGGGGACTGGCTCAGCATCTCCCCTGCAGGCTCTGGCTATGCCTGTATGGGTGCAGAGCCTGGTGGGACAGCCCAAGGGCCACTGCAGGCTGGGCTTGCTCCTCTGCTCAGGGCTCAGACTGCACTGAAAGGCATCACTTTCAGCTAAAACACTTGGATATATTCAAGACTGCCTTTTTTTTCCCTTTTTTTTTTCTTTTTTTTAACTGCAGGAAGGCTGTAGCTTAAGCCAAAGAAGCCAAGCATTTTCTTTTTTGTTGGAAATAATTGAACCAGAGGAGAAAATAGAGATGATGCAATCCAAAGCAACTGTAAAAACTATCCCACTGGGATGTTTTTATAATCTTCCTTTGATATGGCATTCTGTTTGTTAAAAGCTGGTGTTGACCAGTTCACATGTACTCGTTTTTTTCTTCTGCCTGGAGTCTGATAATTTCCAGCCTAATGTGCTTGGGTATTGGAATATGAATCCCAATATAACCAGTTAGATGGTGCCTGGGCCAGTTCTGACCTTCGCTGCTGGGCCAAAGGCAGCACTGCGGTGTTTTACCCCAGAGATACCTTGGCTGCTGGAGAGTGCAGCGGGGCAAGTCCAGGCTTGTCAGGACTCCGTTTACCTCAGGAGAGAGAGCTTCTGGCGATGGTGGAGAGAAAGGGAGT